AGTATGTAAAAAAAAAATAAAAAATAATAATATAAAAAAAAAAAATAAAAATGTAAAAAAAAATTATAATTAAAAAATTTTAAAAGTTTAAAAATTATATTTTTTGGTTATAAACTAATTTGGATATTTTTTTTTTTTTTACTAAAAAGATAACGGAATACATTTTGGCTAAGATTTATGATGAAATATTATTTATTTGCAAAATTTTATTAAAAAAAAAACACTTTTTTTCAAAATTTTTGGACTCTTCATTTACATAGCCAAAAAAATACAAATCCCAGTGGTGAATAAATACCACCAAAGTAAAGCTTTATCTGTCTAAAAAAAATGGTAAAAAATTCATTTGGGTACAGTGTTGCATGACCGCGCAATTGTCATTCAAAGTGTGATAGCGCTAAAAGCTGAAAATTGCCCTGGTCAGGAAGGGGGTAAAAGTGTCCGGACTTGAAGTGGTTAACAAATTACATTTGTATAAGCAAACATTTTTACTGAATGATACTAATTTATTCAGTAGCTTTTGTTGTGATCAGCTGTGATTGACCATAGCTGATCACATGCTACAGATGGGTTGTGATTGGCCCAGTCTGTACATGTGATCACTGACCAATCACAGCTCACAGCACAGTTGTAGGCAATGAATCGCATGTAAGGAAGTCATTCATTGTTTATCACATTGGTCACAGCGATCACATGACACTGGCAGTGGGCTGGTGTAGTGATCTGTCATCGATCGTTTCCCGTGGTCACAGCCAGTGACTGATCATGCTGGAGCTTGACCCGATCCTGGGAAGATGTCATATGACATCCTCCCAGGATAATAGGATTCCCACTTGGCCATCATCATACAATAGGCTGGGTGGGAAGGAGTTAATTGAGGTTTCATTACCTGGTTAGTGAGCTTTCCACCTTGGAATTTAATGAGAAAAAAATATTTCTGGATTTAAAATCAATTGCTCAGGGTCTCTTCCAACACCTCAATCATAGTTGCTCTAACGAATGCTTCATTTTTATATATTTCTGGCAATTCTTGTAGTCAGTGAATGTCTGATGTGGGTGTACGATAGTGTCGGACCAAGAAAAGAGTGGATTGGTTCTGATACATAATGGAGCGAGTCCTTATTCAAAGGAGCTAATACACAATAAAGGTACAGTGTAGATGAACCTAATTCTGGTCCCAGGCTTCTACTTGAAAAGAATTATTAGCAGATGACAAAATCTGGGGTGGATATTCCGGAGTGCCTAGTACATAAATTCATATCGTTCAGAAGACTTTTTGAAATGTTTATTGGTTAAGGGCATTAAGTAAAGCCAAAGCATTTCGGAGTAGAGAGGAATGGCATGTATCCGTGTGTAAGATCACTCCAAAAAAAAATAATATTATAGTGCCACGTCCTAATTATATCAGTCAAAAATGGAGGGAAAGAAAACGAGGGAGAAATTGTAAATGGACTTTAAAGGCACAGAAATTTCAAACACATACAGTATTAGTAGAATCATTTATACTTTATTATGACAATGAGTCATGAAAAAACATCTTGCAGTTTAACCACCTTACGCCCGCCCTATAGTAAAATGACAGGCGCAAGGTTGTTCTCTCGTTCTGGGAGGACATCATATGACGTCCTCCCATTCTAAACCGCGCATGCGTGGCTCAGGGAGCTCAGGGACACAGCGAACACAGGGAGCTCAGGGAGCGAGGGACACAGCGGATCACGGAAAGAGCCGAAGATGTCGGCTCGATCATGTGATCAGCTGTGTCCAATCACAGCTGATCACATGTAAACAGGGAAATGCCGGTTATCGGCATTTCTCTCCTCTCGAGCTATCACGCTGACAGCTCGAGAGGAGAGGAGAGGTACGGTAATCGGCTTTCCGCGGAGGGGACATGTACACTGATCATCAGGACACTGATGATTAGTGTGCCCTGATGATCAGTGTGGCCCCAGAAGTGCCAGCAGTCAGTGCCAGCAGTCAGTGCTCATCAGTGCCACATCAATGCCACATATCAGTGCATACCAGTGCACATAAATGCCACATATCAGTGCCCATCTGAGCTTCCTTTCACCCATCAGTGCCAGTCAGTGCCACCTATCAATGCCAATCAGTGCCATCTATCAGTGCTGCCAATCAGTGCCACCTATCAGTGCCAGTCAGTGCCGCCTAACAGTGCCAGTCAGTGCTGCCTAACAGTGCCAGTCAGTCAGTGCCGCCTAACAGTCCCATATATCAGTGCCATGTATCAGTGTCATGTATCAGTGCTGCCTTTCAGTGCCCATTAGTGATGCCTGTCAATGCCCATCAGTGCCACCTACCAGTGCCTCCTCATCAGTGCCCATCAGTGCCACCTATCAGTGTCCATCAGTGCAGCCTATCAGTGCCCATCACTGCAGCCTCATTAGCACACATCAGTGAAGGAGAAAAATCACTTATTTACAAAATTGTATAACAAAAACTAAGAAAAAACTTTTTTTTTTTCAAAATTTTCAGCGGTTTTTGGTTTGTTTAAGAAAAAATAAAAATCCCGTAGGTGATTAAATACCACCAAAAGAAAGCTCTATCTGTCACAAAACAATGATAAAAAATTCATATGGGTACAATGTTGCATGACCACACAATTGTCATTGAAAGTGTGACAGCGCTGTAAGCTGGAAATTGGCCTGTGCAGGAAGGGGGTATAAGTGCCCTGTAGGCTAGTGGTTAAAAGAGATAATAATATACTGTCCCCGCAGACAATGTCCCACAACCCACCATATTACAAGGAACACACTAGTGATGAGGGATACAAGAACCACCAGAAGGATCCTATGGGGGGGTGAGAGACATTAAGCCGCAGGCAGAATGGCCCAACATGTTTTGCGACAATGATCGCTTCTTCAGGGGCTTAGTAGTAAAATCTAAAAAAAGATATACATATATTGAATATATTAAAATTACAGCTTGTAAACACAAAAAAAGTGGAGAGGTCATACAATAATATAATATAACGTTCATATAATATCAATATGCACCATGCAGCAGCAGAACCCTCCATGCATGAGAAGTAGGCCTCCTCTGTGTTTCCACAAGGCAAGGGGTCATACAGAAGGCCAGATATGGGGGGGCGCAACAATGGCCGACAGTCCAGAGCCCCAATGGTCTAAACCAACCAATAAATAATAAATAATTTTGGAGTAAAGGCCCTCCACCCCCTTTCCTCAGGGCTAGAGCAGTAGAAGTAGAATCATAATAAGATGCAATAGAGACCCATTTTAGGGCTTAATAAAGACTGTCAAGTCTTCGCTGCTTTACAAACTAATGGAAGTTTCTAAATACATCTATTATCTACCTAACTGCCTCACTTTGCCTCTACATATACCGAACAACCTCATTTTATTTACTTTGCTGCGAGTGCTAACATGGGACTGGACTCTAGACATTAAGTATAATCTGATTTCACTCCTATATCCTATTAACATCACAGCTTTCTCAAGGCACGCTGTTTACCTGCATATACAGCCATTATGGGAGTTGAGCAGTGGTTACATCATTTCCCAGTCATAGCTATGACAGAGTCTATTCCTTGTGATTATCTACTCTTGCTGCACCAGAACTGGGACTTTATTACTTTACACCAATTGCTGGTATTTTGCTGGGGGTTATGCTCAAGCTTCCAAGGGCGAAACACATCTGAGGTTTTACTTTGACTTATCTGCTTACTATTTCAAGCAGGGTTACCTATGTTAGCGAACCTCAGTGTGCTTCGTTATTTGGCGCCCAGACGCTTTTACTTTGTGCACATTATTATTATTATTATACAGTATTTATATAGCACTAAAAGGTTTGCTCAGTGCTGTACATTATAGTGGGGGACAGTACATGAGACAATACAGTAACAAAACAAAACAACATTGTCTTGTTGTTTGTTGATCATTCATTTTTGCATATGTGTATTCTAATTAAGTGCTCCTGTGACCCTGGGTAGAGTATTTTTTTTAAAATTCGCATCATCAATATTTTTGTACTGCTATATGTGTATTTAATAAAACACATTGTTATTAAACCATGCCACAATTTAGTTGTTTAGGTAATCGCTTTCACCCAGATATTGAATTCCCTTTTCACTATAGGGGGAACCTTTACGTTTTGATATATGCTTAGGTTACAATAACAATACTTAAATTCCCTTGTTTTTTCTTTTTTTTATCTATTGCTCTAGCCCTGAGAAAGGGGGAGGCCTTTCCTCTAAAATGCACTGGTTTTACTTGATGCTTTTAACCAATAACATTTCAAAAAGGCCTGATTATGATATTCTTTTGTACTGGGCACTCCTTAATACCCACCCCAGACTTTGTCTATGAATGTTATCATATATGCAATATTTCCAGATAACATCTGCAGAACTATGAGTGTGCGCAGTGATCCATGAAATATGCAAGCAAATCCAGACTGGCTTTTTAAATGTAGTAAATAAGCTTACATTTTACACTAATTGAGAATTATAAGCCTTTTGACTGACATTAGTTTTATTTGTTGTAAATGGAAAGCAGCTTGGTAGGGAACCTCATCTATACAGGATGGAATGGTTCTTCTGGTGTTAACTGGGGGAACCTAGATAGATGGATAACATCATTGCATCCCTCCATGTGATAGTGAATGGCTGTTCAGGCTCATTATGTGCTCCCCCATACCTGGTAACACCTCCTGGTTAATGAGGACTCTGGCAGTGCAGTGAGGTGGCAAGAAAGCAAGGCTGGGTAAGTATACATTCCTTGGGGGGAGGGGCTATGTGCTGGAATTGTACCCATTACATACATGGCATTCAACCACAAGGCAGTGCATTTTTACTCAGAATACTTAGACAAGAAGCCAGCTTCACTTTCAAAAACCTAAAGATCTGCATGGAAACATTAATTCTTCCCAAGCCTAAAGAGAGGTTGCTTAATTCCCAATTTTCACAACCCTACATATTAGAGCAACCATTCAACTGATAATTTTTCCTCTTTCAACAACATGCTTCCATATTTGTTTAACCTCCCTGGCGGTATTCCCCGAGTGTAGCTCAGGGTAAAGTTTCAGTACCACAAGCGGTAACCCCGAGCTACATTCTGGCTTACCATGCAGCGCTGCTCCGGGATCTGTTCTTCACTTACCGTGTCCTGCGCCCCGCGATGTCCCTCCTGCAGTGTCTCCGGCAATGTAATCCGGCCGATGCCAGCATCTGTCATCTGGGTTCAGTCCCCTGCGAGCGTCGGGACGTACGGGGGACGGAACGGTGGGAAATTTGAAAATGACAAAAAGTGACATTCACTAAAATCACTAAAATCACATAGTATAACATTACTGTATCAAACCATTTCACATACATTTTGTCCCGAGTGCTTCGTCCTGTGCCCTGCCTGCATTTTTACTGTTCTTTCTGCCTGGAAACTGAGAAAAGTCCATGGTGTCCAAAAAGCGTCCCTTTAGGTCAAAATTGGTTTTAGACTAGCTAAGGAACAGCAATAGTAAATCAGAACCACTTGCAGAATTGAGTGATAATGATTCGTGGGGAAATTCATCATCAGACACTGAAAACGATTTTGCGACTTTGCTCAGTGATGTGCGAACTTGGCGCTATATTTCAAATTTCAGTGTTTTTTGGTTTGAATACATTATTGAATTAAATTTATTATTATTATATTATTATTTTTTATGATTATTTATTAAATTATAATTTATGATTTCGTGTTTCAAATTTTATCCTACCCGGGATGTTTACTAGACTCTTGTTCGGACATATTTCAGTGAGTTATTCCTAAATATTACAGCCTACAATAAAAAAAATACATATTTCCATGCAAAATAATGGTACCGCTTTCAGCACCAAAAATCAGAAATAATCATACCGCTAGGGAGGTTAATAAGTACATTATTCCTAAATTCATCAATCTTTTGGCTGTCTATCTTCTTTTTCTGTAGTGCTGAGTTAATCTGCTTGGGTTTAATTCTGACAGGATTCAGGAAATCCTGTTTGAAAATCAAAGAACGCAAACTTACCGTGAAGAGCAATCAAAGCTCATGGAGGGCTAATCCAGTTAGTGAATTCTGACAGTTTTTAGGAAACTTAGGCACAGCCATAGGGAACAAGTACCAATGTCATATACAGTACAAAAAAAGTACTAAAAACAGTGTTTGGGTCAAGGTCAATAGGAGCTGTTACTTAGTGCTTTCTCTCTCTCTCTCTCTCTCTCTCTCTCTATATATATATATATAAATATATATATATATATATATATATATATATATATATATAAAAATAGCAAATAAACTGTCAATGACAGCTGTCAAAGTCTGCCAACAATTTTAAAATATTTTGGGGTGTTTGTTTTCCAAAATGTGGTAAATTTATGGGTGTTTATACTGTCCTGGTGCTACAGGGCCCCCAAAAAAGTGATACATAGTCAGGAAATTAGATGATTAATTCATGCCCCTTATAAGCCTTAAGTTGCTTTTGACGGGAGTCACGTTGGGTGGGGGGCCCATGGAACACAGCTCACTTTGGAGAGGTGGGGAGACCCCTGTCTCAACTCCCCATATCCCTCTTATGTGTAAGTCACCCTGTGCCTGTTAGGGGTACAGGGTGATCTGTCCTAATATTTTGTAGACATGTCTAGGAGATAGGTGAGGGTTGTGGATTGTTTAATGCCATGTGGTTGCATCCCATTGTTCTATTGTGTGTCTTGCTTGGGAGCAAACTATTATGGGATGTATGTGTTTGTGTATTAGCTTAGTGGGGGGTTGTCCCCGGCAGCCCTCCCTCCTGATGGGACTGTCTGCTGGAGTGAAGTTTCAATACCTGTGTGTCTTTTTGTTACTAAATGTAGATTGCCCCGCCCTGTGACATTATGCAGGGAGGGGGATTTGTTCATTTGAATGTATATATCTTGTATCATCTGCGTTAAAATAAAGTAGTCTATTTTTTCTGGTTTCCTTCCAAGGCTGGGGTGTCGTCTAGTCTCGTATGGTCAGTGGTGGTGTCCGTGGTCGGTGTGTACGGACAAGGAAGCGGGAGTTTTAACGGAAATACCCAAGTGCAGTCAGGGTCCAGTTCTGTTACAGTGCTCTTTTGATTTTTGCCCCTTCTTTGTAGCTAGGCTCCAAAAAATCTCAAACATGAGGTATCCCCATACTCTAAAGGAGTAGAAAAATGTGTTTTAGGGTGTAAATCACATTTACAAAAATGTGATGATTTTTGTGAATATTTATACTGTGCTGGTATTCCAGGGCCTCTATCATGTGATAGGTGTAGTTTAGGAACTCAAGTGCTTATGCCCCTTGAAAGCCTGAAGTTTGCTACTTGGATTTTGGCTAGGTTGCAAAAAAAAAGTTTCATATTTGTTGCATCCCCATACTCAAAGAGCAATAGCAGTGTTTTGGGGTATATTTATAGATATGCCCATGCTGTGTATGAGAGATACTGTATTTTATTAATTGAAAGCTATGTGTAAAAAAAATACAGTTAATATTGTGTCTTAATTTTCCAAAAACTTGTGGCAAAAAATGTAATCTTCAAGATACTCATATACCCATCTATCCATCCTGAAACTGGGCAGGTCAGTGTGGATTGAGTTTAAACACCTTACTTCATTCCTAAGACTTCTCATAAAACTCATCCTTATTGGACAACACTTTGTTAGCAAACTTTAGTGCATTTCCAAATCCTGCATTATGGAAGGTTTATTTGTTGGAACTCTTGCAGACATTATCGGTAGGGAACGATGTACCCATTCATGCAATTACGGAAGAGGCACAACTCACCATTAGTTTATTCTATAGATTCCTAAAAAAGACTGCAAAATGGCTTGGAGGCGCAATTCAGGCACTAAAATGAATCTCTGAATACCCACTAAAAGGAGAATTATAATCTTTAAGGGTTAATATCACTCAGAGACCACAAAGGATTAATATCCATTCTCATTTCCACACTTGCTACACACTACATATGGTAAATATCCGCTAGTTATTAAGATTACATGGCAGAGTAATTAATGCCCCTTTAAAGCCTTAAGGTGCTCTTTTGATTTTTGCCCCTTCTTTGTAGCTAGGCTCCAAAAAAGTCTCATACATGAGGTATCCCCATATGTGAGTAGCAAAATGTGTTTTAGGGTATAATCCTAAGTATGAGGTGTGTTAGAAATATTAATTTAAGGCTTGTTGGGTTTCATTAAAAAACAACACATGTGTATCTCACTAGCATGTCCCCGATCCAGTTCACAATCAAGCTGGATAGAGATGCTGTCTGTCATCATTCCCTAATCTATAAAACTCTCTTTGGAGGATCATCCTTATCCTGCATATTTCTACAACCATGTTGCTATGCCATTGGTTACTTTCTACTGTGAGGATGGCTGTAAGCTATACAATTTTACTGATATCCCTGGCACTTCCCCATTCACCCCCCCCCCCCCATTTCAGTTTTTCTTCAATCCCCCCTGTTCTCTCCCCATCCCCTCCCCCTCTCTCTTCCCCCTTTTCACCTCCACTCCTCTATATCCCTCTCACCTGACCTACACATATCCCAATGTTTCTTGGTGACACACCCATCAACACCCACTGTTATGCAGATACCTCCTTCTGTTCTGGGGCTACCACTAGAGACACATTATGTAACATTTGTAACTAGATTTTTAGTGCCTCATCCACCACTAATAGGGCCTTTGTCCTTCCTCATTTCTATCTGACCTGCCTGCTTTCTAGCAATAGAGTTTTGTTTTATTGCATTGAAGGGGGCAGATTAGCATATTTATCATCAATAAAGAATACTTACCCTCTGCTTATCTATATTTAGTACACCCCATACTGTTAGACAGCTATTTGCTTACAATGTCTAACCCCTAATCTCACAACTGTGTTATTACAATATTTGAGAGACATCATTGGTTTTTTTGGTTTTGGTTTGCTTGGTCCAAATGTCTTATCGGCTAATATTTTATATTTTTTTAAATTTTATGACTGATTTTTCTTTGCTTATGTTCATGTCTCAGTAATCTAACATATGATTGTGGAATAAAAAAGAAATATTAATTTACAACTTTGTGTACAAATCAATACATTTGTATATTCTTTCTGCATTTTCCAAATACTTGTGGAAAAAATGAAATCTTCAAAAGACTCAACTTGCCTTTTAATACATTTCTTGTGGAGTGTCTGTTTTCCAAAATGTGATGATTTTGTGGATATTTCTACTATCCTGGTATTCCAGGGCCTCTATCATGTGATAGGTAGTCAGAAAATCGAGTGCTTATGCCCCTTGAAAGCCTGCAGTTGCTCCTTGGATTTTGGCTAGGTTGCAAAAAAAGTTTCAGTTGTGTGGCATCCCCATACTCAAAGAGGAATAGTAGAAAGTGTTTTGGGGTATAATTATAGATATGTCCATGCTGTGTATGAGAGATACTGTATTTTATTAACCTCCCTAGCGGTATGATTATTTCAGATTTGTGGTGCTGAAAGCGGTACCATTATTCTGCATGGAAATATGTAGTTTTTTTTATTGTAGGCTGTAATATTTAGGAATAACTCACTGAAATCTGTCCGAACAAGAGTCTATTAAACATCCCGGGTAGGATAAAATTTGAAACACAAAATCATAAATTATAATTTAATAAATAATCATAAAAAATAATAATATAATAATATTACATTTAATTCAATAATATAATCAAACCAAAAACACTGAAATTTGATATATAGCGCCAAGTTCGCACATTGCTGAGCAAAGTCGCAAAATCGTTTTCAGTGTCTGATGACGAATTTCTCCACGAATCATTATCACGCAATTCTGCAAGTGGTTCTGATTTACTATTATTATTATTATATTATTATACAGTATTTATAAAGCGCCAATAGTTCGCTCAGCGCTGTACATTATAAAGGGGGACAGACCATGTGACAGAACAATACCAATACAATGCAAAACATGAGGGGATCGAGGGCCCTGCTCTTTCAAGCTTACAATCTAGGAGGGAGGGGATAGTGGTACAGGAGGAGATAGCTGTGGGGGATGGAGTGGTAGGAAGAGTGGAGGAGGTCGGCAGGTTAGCAGGGGGTGGGGTAGGCTTCCCTGAAGAGATGGGTTTTCAGGGTGCGCCTAAAGGAGAGGAGAGTAGGTGATAATCTGATGGGTTGGGGCAGGGAGTTCCAGAGGATGGGTGACACCCTGGAGAAGTCCTGGAGGCGGGCATGGGAGGGAGGAGGAGACCAGGGAACTAGAGAGAAGGAGGTCTTGTGAGGAGCGGAGTGTGCGTGCTGGGCGGTACTTGGATATTAGGTCAGTGATGTAGTTCGGGGCAGTATGGTGGACAGCTTTGTACGTCAGCGTTAGGATTT